CTTACTTTCACACAACTTTCTCATTTAGTCCTGATAATAACTTCATAAGGTAGGTGTTATTAATCTAAATTTTGACACATGTAAAAATTGAAACTCAGTGAAGAAACTTAACATACTTTTGACTACCACAACCCCAGAGCCTAGAACCATACCTGGCACCATAAGTTGAATAAATGTTACCTGTCCACATAATGGTAAGTACATTTTTTACCAGGATTTGATCAAAGGTCTGTTTTAACTTGGAGTCAAGGGCTCATACATTTTTTTTTCTAAAATGTGGGCTATATGGTCTCTGCTGAAACTACTTGACTCTGCCATTGTAGTCTCAAAGCAGCTATAGTCTATATGTAATTGAATAGATGTGGCAAAACCAGACAAACAGTCTGTGGTTTTCTGGCCCTTGCAAACTATCAGTAAGACAACTAAAAAGACAAAACACACATTAGTATTTGTATTTCATTATTAAATTAAGAAACTCACAATTGGGGATTGTGTGTGAGTTCTGAAATGCTTACTGGTTTGATCATGATCATTATCCTTCACTGAGGTCAGAGAGATTCTTCATGTCCAACTTTTCTTAATTCTGGCTATGAGAAAGTCAAACCTCACAGAACAGGTAGTGGAGAATCTTTTACTCTGAAATAGAAAAGCTATCATCCTCTCCCCCCTTTTTTCTTTATAGAAATAAAGGACAAAGAAAATCTCCAGAAACCATAATTACATGTGGTTACACAAAGCCATGTAGTAATAGGCATGAGGGCAGGAGGACCTAAGTTATCTAAGGTTAACTTAGATATTTAGATTAAGTTATCTAAATCCAAGTCCTATGATGAAGTTGTTTTAGCTTCCCTGGGTTAAATGGTGATAATATATAGCAAAAAGTTGTATAGTTAACAAAAAAAGTGTTTTTTTAAAAGCCCAAATCCTCTATAAACATGCAGTTTGATTAACAATTTATGATCAAAAACAAACAATCTCAAGTAAAGGTTTACATTGAACTAGATACACACCTATTTAAAAGAAATCATTCGTGAAATAGGTAAGAATTTTTCCCAGAACCAGAACAATTCATAGAAAAAATTTAAAAAACTAGTAATTTAAAGTCGAGAGCTTAAAAGTCACAAAAGGTGACTCTTTAAGAAGAACAGACCAACTTCATATTCCAGGACTGCATTAGAAGCAACACACACACACACACAAAAAAAAATAAAGACTTAAACTCTCAAAAAATGTGTCACATACTTAAGAAAAGCAAAGTGTATGATAAGGAATACTTTATCAATTTTTAAAAGTCAAGGGCAAATCTCTCTTACCTTTTTTTTCCTATTTATTTATTTCCTTTGAAAGGTTTTGCAAGAATTAAATAAGATTTAAATGAAAGCACTAGATAAATCATTAAGTCTTACAAGTTCCTATAAAAATGTGACATTATAAGTATTATTACTATTTTATTATTACATTGATCAACTGAACTACTGCCATACTGGCAACCAATATTTGGCACTCAATCTTTCTCATAAGATCCTAAGCTCCTAGAAGGTCAGATGTTTCCATGATCCAACTAGAACGGTTAAAAGTATCATTGTTAGGAACATGGTCATGAATTGAGATTGACCTCAGAAAACAGTACGTGTTTAATAAAAAATTGCTAAATGAATAAATAGTAGGCACACAACACATATTAGTTCTGATTTTTCCAGTTGATTGCATTTTTTCTCTTCTAGTGTAGCAGGTCAGTAATCAAAAATATTCCCCTTCCTGCCTCTGTTCTAGCTGCCCACAGCATCAGACACTGGAAGAACACGTAACTCTTTTTATCACTGTTATTTATGGGCATAAATTCTCACTGAAAAAGCAACCAACAGAAAGTAAGCACACTTATATGTGGGGGCAGGAATAGGGAGGATTCTCCTAGAGCCAAGAAGAGAAGATGGAGTCAACATATAAGTGGAAAAGTAGAGGAATATTTCAAAAACCTGGGAATCTGGAAAGGTTCTCCCTGCAGTCAGGGGCAGTCTAAAGCTCTGAGCTTTGATTCTACAACGTTGTGTATTCCTATAATATGATCAGCCATACAAAACCAGACTGATAAAACAGAAACAACTCAGAAAAACTTTAATTCATAATAGCTTAGCTAAAAGCAATCAGAATCCTATGCTAGCTGTTTAGCAGTCTTTTGAGATATAAGCAAGAAAGTGGCTCCAAATTGGTGCCCTTGACACTTCATGCCAATTATCACTCTTTCTTGGCTGGGAGTTTTAATGAAAAGACATTCATTAATAAGAAATCATTTTAAAAATATGGGGTCTAGCTTGCTGTATTAGGGAAAGAGAAACACGCATATTCCAAAAGAGACATTGCTATCGATAATTAATCTAGTACGGATACTGGAACTTCAGAGCAGTAAGCTTATTTTAAAAACAGAATATAATTGCCTGAAAGTCAACACAGAGCTAGGAGTTTAGCCTTTTGGGCACGCTTGAGGACTGAACTTTAATTCTATAGCATTTCTACTGGACCTGTGACAGGCAAAGGCAGTAACTTTAAAAATTAAAACTTTTCAAAAGGTACAAATTATTTCAGAAGAAAGAAAAGAGCTTTAAAAAAGCAGAAATATCCAAGATCACAAGTGCAAAATATTCTAAGTATATGCTACTTGAAATTCTCATAATCTGACTATATCTAAGTATTAACTCTATGTTTATCCTCAAATGACATTGCAAAATCATACAGAAAAATCATATTGTAATAGCCCTCAGTAAAACTGTATTCGTTTAACAAGATAAAAATGATTAATTAATGATATATCTGCTTGTCTTAAAGAACTATTAACTTATGTGAATATTGTGTTTGTTTTATATATGCTTTTCAACAGTCCCTAAAGCATATTTTAACCCATTACGTGTTTCAAATTTTCTAATGAATATAGTATCACTGCTAAAGGACATAACTATGCATTTTACCTTCTTTATTCTTCTGTTTGAAACTAAAAAGATAATTTCCCTCATTTATGATCCTAAGTGATTTTAAAAAGAAACTCTTCATTAACGTTGTTTTCTTTTTAAGTGTGTGTGTGGGGGGGCGATCACCTTGGGCTTACCTAAGGATCAACCTCTGCTCTTCATGTTAAAAATAAAACATAAAACTGCTTTTCTTAGAAAATTTAGAATTCTCACTAAAGAGCTGAGGAGGAAAGCTGCTGGGAATGTTCGGTTTACAAGTTTTTGTGGAAAGAGCTCCCCTTTAGATTAGTGTTGCTCAATGTTTATGAGGGTTGTTTGTCAAGGCAAAAATAAGGTGCCTCCTCCCCTCAAATTAAAGAATCAAGTTACAATCCATTATTTCATTTCTGATTGTTTTTCTTTGTAATAAGTGGGAAAGTGGATACTGACTAAAAGTCTTCCCCCAACTAAAAGACTCCACATTAAAGGCTCCAATTAGCTATAAATCAGTTGTCTTTCCTACTGGGGAGAACAAGAGAGAAAAGAGAGGGGGTAGTTAGAGAAAAGAGAACTGGAAGAGTTTCCAAATTAAATTCTGAAAAAGATACCTACTGCAGACCTAAAACCACTTTCAGAGGCTGCTATTCTGTTCAAAAGTTAAGACTAAACAACCCTCCCAAATCTGAGGGTTGGGTCCTTTCTCAAATGTGTAGGTCTTGCATTTTAAGACCTCTGAAGAGCCGCTGGAGAGGTTAGAGACCCTCATAAAACAAAACTTTTATGCTGCATGCTTTCCCTGCTTGTTCCTAAGACCGAAGAGGTGCCCCACATTGGCACTATTGTTATGCAAACAATGCCTAAGGGCCATAACCATTAACGACCTCTCATTAAAATGGCCTTCAAAAATTTGTCACACCCTCTAAAAGAGCTAGCAGGTACATTAAATCCATCTAAATCGACATTCAAAACACGAATCATCCAGATAGTATCCTAAACTCAATCCATGTAAAATTTCAATATTGTGATGGTTTGGGGTATTTCTCTTTTCAGCCATTAAGCCAAGAATCAAACAATTTAACTTCTCTACAAAGCGTAGTGGATCTTGTAATAAGCATGATGGAATACAACTTTAGCGATATTGTGAGTACACACATAGGTTTAAGTTAATTGCAAGAAGTGTGCGACGGTAATAGAAAATCAAATAAGAACTGTAAAGTGAACTCCAAGAAATGTGGGTCTAAATCCCATCTATCCGAACCCCACCAAGCTATAACATTACAATTCCCCGCTTTATATATATATATATATATATATATATGATTCATTTTTTTTCTATGACGAATTTGTGGAAAGAAAGTAAAGTCAACTTACATTAGGTAGCAGACGCACATTTATATATGTGTGTGGTGTGTTTTTAAAATGCAAGGCAACAACAAAATTCCTGTTTGTCAAAACCAAAAAAATGTCAAAGTTCGTTTTAAAAAAAGTTTTCAGTAGAAACGCAAACCCGAAAACTTGCACAAATATAAAGCTTCTTCAAGTTTCCCAGGAAAAAAGTCACACTGCCTACAAAACTCAAATGAAATCCTGACACTGGCTCTCGCTGTGCTTTTTATCAGCCAGGTTCCCGTGAAATTTGTCACACACCGGCCAGAGCGCCGGAGATCTGACCATTTCCTACTGGAAAAGCGCTCCGCTCGGTCCGGGCTCCGAGGACCTGCCGGGCGGCTGGGAGCGAGGACCGCGAAGCGATGGCCGGGCTACGCGGCGATCCGGCGGGAGCTCGGGTCTCCTCTGCGGAAACCCGGAGGTTTCCGACGCCTTCCCCGCGGTCTGGGGCAGAGCCGTTGAGCCCTTCAGCGAGCGCTGCCTTTAGGCTAGTCCCCGACGCGTCCCAAGACACGGCGGGACTTCAAAAGCCACCACCGCGGAGATAGACAGGGCGTCCGCTGCAGCTCAGGACGGCAGGCTGGCCCCAGAGACCCCGGCCCTCGCCCCCTAGAGAGCCTGATGAGGAAGGAAGTTTCTAGAAATCCTCCGTGGGCCGTGGGCGCTTACCTTGGTGTACTTGATTTCGAGGTTGGGCGTGGGCGACGGCAGGAGGTGCAGGGACGCCATGAGCGCGGCGGGGTCGGCCTTCACCTCGCCGGGCATCTCGATCTTACTGGAAGTCATGGTGGCGGGCCCAAGTGTCTCTCGCCCGCGGCGTGGGCTGTGCGGGCTGTGCGCGCGGTCCGCGGGCCGGGGGCGCGCTCGCCTGTATATAGGCAGGTGTCAAGCTGGGACTCTTCTTATTGGACGTGAGGGCCGAGGCGCGGGGGGCTGGTCCATCCTACCTAGGAGCCCAGGCGCAGCACCGATTTACATAAAGCCCGGGCCGCGCGGCCCGCGCCCACCATCCAGTGCGCCCTCGCCGGGGTCTGCGGGGCTCGCTCCACGCCCACACGGCCGCCGTCGTCGACGGCCAGACTGCGAATTTGCTTGGGGCTCTGTCACTGGACAGTCTCCCGACCGTCCCCTCAGCGTCCGAAGGAACCGTACCTTGGCCCGAGTCAGGCTGGGGGTCGTGGCCCCAGGAAGCGGGGCAGGGGAGCCTAAGGGGTGTCAGCGAGAGAGCCAGGACGTGGAGGGTGACACCCGAGGGCCAGATCCCTCCCTCTCCCTCCCTGGGCCGGCCGAACACCAGCTCCCCTGTGGTTGGGATAGGGAACGCCCTCGGTTCTCCTCCCAGGGGAAGGGGCGCGGTGCTCTCGGCAGCGACCCCCTCGCCTACACTTGTCAGGGTGGCCCGAAGTGCGCGGTGGGCAGAGGGCTACGGAGGGGTAGTGATGGGTGCGCCCCACATTCGGAATGAGAACCTTTGCGAGCCAGTGGGCGCTTCGTGGCCCTCCTCACGCTGCTTCTCCCGCCTGATTGCTGCCCTCTGCCGGCAGGGACCGGTCCGCAGGCTGGAGGAGTGGGCTTGGGTCCTGAAGCTCTTGAGTTGTTGTGTTGTGCCATGGGCTACTTTATCTCTCCATATCCTCCTCTACCCCTTTCCGCTCCTCTCCCCCAAAACACCTGGGGGTGGGGGTCCCTTGTTCTCCGGATAACAACTTCAGCCTCTCATGCCTTGGATCTGTCCCTGCACTGCTCTTCCGGGTTGAGCGTCCATCTCCATAACTCCTAATTTTTTTCTGTAGTCCAACAAGCTACCTTCTGGTTTGTGGGTCAGCATATATGTGCAAATCAAGAACTCAAGAGAGCCGGTTGCTGTGGCGCAAGCCTATAATCCCAGAGGCTCAGGAGGCTGAGGCAGGAGGATCATAAATTGAAAGCCGGCCTCAGCAGAAGCGTGGCGCTAAGCAATTCAGTGAAACCCTGTCTCTAAATAAAATACAAAATAGGACTGGGGATGTGCCTGTGGGCACAATCCCTGTACCTCTGGGGGCGGGGGAAGAAGAAGAAAAGGAAAGGAAAGGAAGAAAAATAGAGAGCCATTCCAAGTTGGGCTTTTGGGGTCATTGGACTGAATCCACATGAAAGACCTTTAATAGAATCCTTCCCCCTCCTCATGCCCAATGTAGGCCTGAATGTAAAGCAAAATCCTACTGTGAAAAACTTTTGATCATATTTTTTTTTCATGGAAGGGCATATTATTGTGAGTGTCTACTAAGCAACTCCTTGATTTACATTTTACATGCCATTTTCAGAACACTAGATTCCAATTTCTTTGGGTGTTATCAGAAAACCTTTGTGTTAGATACTTCCAGTAACTAAAACTGCCTAATACTTGGTTCTTTCACACTAAGCAATAGTGGGTGTAGACAAAATATTCGATTCTGGTAATAAACTTGTAGACATAGTTCCAGCCTCTCAGGATCCAAAGTCTCAATCCAAAGTGACTTAATTTACTACAGAACTTCACTTAGGAAGTTGAGGGGTATTGATTCAGAGGATTTCTAGGCTCCAAAATTATGCCTTAATTATGGCATATGTTCATGAGATACATTTTTATTAAAGACTTAGAAGACTGGAGATAGCATTGAGGAATAAGAAAGTAAGATCTTGGGGTTTGTTAGGGAGAGAGAGAGAAGTTCCTGGCAAGGGAGAGCAAGGATCTATGTGGAATAATCCCTGGGGAACAAACATGGAAGTGTTTTGAGCACTTGCATGCAAGGTACAGTGCTTGAGTCTGCATTATAAACTAGAGCAAGAGCCCTTACCCCAGTGAGCTCACAGCCTTCACTACTGATAGGTAGATGACCTACTACCATGAGAACCTGTGAGGAAAATTTACAGAGTGCATCAATGGCAAGATCTTGTGGCTCCACCAAGGAAGAGATCTACTCTCAGGGGAAGTTGACCTTTGAACATGGCTTGAAAAGAGAAGTGAGTCTTCTTCAGGAAAGGGAAGGACACAGTAAACAGAAGAGTCTGCAAGAGCACAGGCAGAGAGATGTGAAAACATTTTTGGAGAGACATCAAATGTGGTTGGAAATGTGGCAAATGAGGCTGGCAAGGCAGTTAACTTCAGATTGTAAGGACCTTAATGCTAGAGGTACTGATAGGCCATTAAGAGCTTCTGAGGAAAAGGAAACTTTCATGGTTTGACTCAATAGATGAATAAGGTCAGGAAAGAGTCACAAACTAGAATAAATTTATTTATATTCTCAGAGAGTAAGACAAGAGTTGCTTACTCTTGATCCACCTCTTGTTTGCTAACTCCTATTCTAACACTATGGCTAGAAACTCACAGAGGAAGGAACAGGATCCAAAATGATGGAATTATACAGAGTCATACAGCAAATAGATTTCCTTCACTCTGGCAGGAAAGGAAGTACTTCTTGGTTTCCTTTCACAAATAACTTCAAAGTTCTAGTTCAGAGACAGCAGCAGGCTAGTTTAAATGGTTCCCTCATGACTTCTTTTGTGTGACACTTACTCTCCCACTAGACAGTGAAGAGATACACACAGGGACTGTCTTCTATTCCCTTTACACCTTCCTCAGTTCCTAAAATAGTGTGGAGTTCATTGTGATTACTTAATAAGAATTTTTGTTGAGTGATTTGAACAAAAGACAAAGCATTGTTAACTACTTCCACCATAAGAGGAGGAAACTTCACTACATCCTGATTAAGATCATCTTTCTGATCTTAAACTTCGTTTTGCCATCCCCCATCTTTTACCATGCACTTTTCTATTTCAAGATTTCTAAGGTTTTTAATTTTCTTTATACAATAATCATCTGGGATGGGGAACCCTCCCCCACCATATTCAGCTCAGGCAGGATTGCAACCATTTTTTATCTAAGCTCTTTAATCCAGGTGGGGAAAAAGTTTATCAGAGAGCAGTGGATTTATTCTAACTATCATCCTTCTTTAGTCTACATCTGCTTGGTTTCTGCTCTTAGGACTTATATTACTTTTAAAGCTGCCTTCTTTTCTCACATTTCATTTTTCCTTCCTTATACTCTTTCTTTATTATCTTCTTTTATTGTCTTTCCCTATAGATCTGACAACAATTAAGGGTACAATTTTTGCCAGAACTGCCTTCACAATTCTAAGGTTTTAAGTGTCAGTCTTTCCCCCAGTTTGATGAAGAAACATTTTCCCCATCCTTACAATGTTTCTCCTCCTGCACTCCTCCCTCTGTAATTATTTATTGTTTAGGATACATCTTGTTTGAAACCCCATGAACAAGGAAACCTAAGCTACAGCATACTGTATTTATTTCCTTGTGAAAACAATTTATTAGGCCTGGTGGAGCCAATATCCTGGAGTTGCAGAGGAGAAAAATAAATTCTTGCCTCATATTTCCTCACCTAAATAATAGAATGCAAAGTTGTAATTTAAAGGCATCAGCTTTATATGAAGTTTGACTTTAAGGTGTGATATCATAATAATTTAGACTTATTTTTAGATGCAGTTAAGGAAAGTAAAGTATTTGTTAATCCAAGAACCATGCTTTAGAAATCAAGGATTTCTAAAGATTCCTCTCAAAGAAGACACACTTTGTGTTTTGACAATAATTGCATGTCCAGCTTGAACGTCAAGCTTCAATGTTCAGGGACTCTTTCAGCCTTAGGTGGCTCACTTAATGGCCTTCCTGCTTCCATTACTAACCACGATGACAGCCCACCTTTCTAACCAGATACAGTTGCATTTTAATTTATCTTTAAAAATAAATCACATATTATAGCATTTCCTTCTTCTGGGTTAATTGAATCAGTTCCTTAAATGTCTCTAAGTCTAATGATTTGAAAGAGGCACATTGTTTGAAATATTTAAAAAATTAGAGCCCTTGGGTCGTATGCAGAATGATCTCAGTGCTTATTTCAGATATAAGTGTTTCCTAATGATCTCATTCATCTCAAATGGGATATGCCTGGTCACTTTATTTGAAATGTTTCCTGAAAACTCTAACAGGAAAGCTTAATGCAAAGTATATTTATAGAGAAATAGTATTTAATTTACTAACAAAATCTTATTGAAAACCTTTACATATTTTTATTCAGAAATGCTTAATGAAGTATTTTGGACCCATTATGCAAACTTCTATAAAATAAAATCACTTATTTTTATATTTGATGTCAATATTAAATTTTTATTTAAGATCTAAATGCTCATTTAATGATTCTCTTCCTTCTTACATCCAGAAGAAAAGAGGCTGAGATTGTGGCATTTATTAACCATAAAAATTCTCTGGTTATTAAGACCCTCATTTCTTAATGTGGTTCCTGGTCATTATATTTTTTGGAGAAGACTATTTCTGGTTAGAGGGAGTGGATTACTAATTGGTCATGGCTCCAGAAATATACACTCTGATATATAATTCTTCCCTTTTAAAATAAATCCTTCACTTTAGGGGGCCCCAGGAGTCTATTTTAAAAGTGGGAACTAGATTTGCCTTTGTTTTAAAGCCAGATTGTACTTCATCTGTATTGTAGAGGTTTCAATCTGGGTACAGGGATGAGCTCAGTACTTTATCAATAATGACACTTTAACAGATAGGGAAAAAAAAATTAAAATTCTAGCTCTGCAGCCTTTCTCTAAAGCGTCTGAGGAAAAGACATTAGCTCCCTCTGCAGCCAATGGTGTGTATGTACAAGTGAATAGTGCCAAATGTAGTCGCTTGTAGTCAGTATATTTTTATGTGGTACTGGTAAGAAATCTTTAGGAGATTTAATTTTAATTAGTTTAAAGAAACCATCTCAGATAAACAAATTTTAGA